GCATAAATGTAAATTATTACGAAATATTAGTAAAAATTAATCTATTAAATATGCATCTTTACTTTGTAGATACTAAATAAATAGTGGATGCTAAAAATTGTGTTGACTCTGATTAATATATTAAAAAATATAGTATGTGAAAATTTATTATATGACTGTAAATCTTGCAAGAGAATTTAATTTAACCCAAATCCCCAAGGATTCATAAAATGTCTAAATATATTCCTAATATTATGACTGATACGAAATTAAAATTTGATTGTGATAAATATTTTAACTGAAGTTCTTTAAAAAGAAATTATTATGTAAATGATTATTTTTTTAAGGATTTTTAAAAAGATTTAGTGACAATTATTACAACTTTATATCTTATTTTAATATAATGTTTACCCTTAACCTAAATTATTTTATTGAAAATTAAATGGCCACAATATCCTCCTAATTAAAATTTAATATTAATACATAACATCATGAAATGAAAATCGCAAAGGGAATTATTAATGGGTGAAGCAGCTGAAAGAAATGATTTTGAAAATATTCTTAATAGTTAAAAAGTTATATCATATTTCCTTTAAAGAATTATATAAATGCTATTTAGTAGTGCTTATTATTGGGGTATCAATAGCTTCCTGTGAGTCTCATTCATTACCTTCAGAAGAGTTTGCTAGTGTTGTTAAACGACTCGTTTCGAGCCGATTTTTAAAAACGGCGAACTTAATATTTTATCCAGAAAAATCTTACACAAGCCTGAAGATTTTGTTCGTAGAATGAACAAAGGTCTTGTGTTGTAAATAATAATATTTTTTTTTAATAATATTTTTTGTGTTGTGAAAAATAAAAAATAAAAATTATAATTATTATTCGATATTATTTTTTTTATGTTGTTAAATTCAAAAAAAAGAAATCAAATTTTTAAAGTGTGAAAAATCTAATTGCAGAATTCTATAAATCAAAGCCTTCTTACAATTCCAACAATTTGGTGTCGTTTTTTTAAAAAGATACCTACAAAGTTATTCAGCGGCATAATGCAAGTATTAATCACTATACGAAAATTACAATAAAGTAAAAATTTAAAGATAAAGGTAAAATATATTTTTAATTTTATTTTAAAATGTATTTTTGTATAACTGTAATTATGACCATAATCACTCTTATATATATGTTATCGTTAAATAATGTAAAAATATTTTTAATAAAGGTTTTAATTAATTTTTTGTAATTTTATCTGTTCAAAAATCATAAATTATTATATAAAAATTGAAATATAAAAATTATATAAAACCAATAACGAAGGACTACTAATAAAATATATGAAAATAGAAATATAAAAAATAACCATGTTTAATTTTAAAATAAAAACGTTCAAATATGTAGAATGTAGTAATAATTATTTTTATGTAATTTTAATTGTACTTAATGGATAACTTTATGTATGGAGAAGAAATAAATTGAAAAATATATTAAAGAAATAAGTTATAATGAGTGAAAAAATTGATGAAAGGGAAAAAATTATTGATGATATATCTAAATTTAAAGATGAAATAATAGAAATATGAAAAGGAAATATCATCAGCGATATTAAAAAAAGAAATTAATATCGTTAGAGATACTGTAGAAGAAAATAAATTTGAAAAATTAATGTTGGAAATGGATAAATTAAAAAAAAAATAGAAGAAGAAAAAAATAAAGGGATCGGAAAAAGTAAAATGGAAATAAAAAATAATGAAATAGAAAAATTTAAAATAGAAGAAAGGGGAATTAAAGAAGTAATAATAAATGAATTAGAAAAATTAAAATTAGAAATAGTAAAAAATGATAAAGAAAAGGAAGAAATTAAAAAAAAGGAAATTGAGGGAATAAGTAAGATATTAAGAGAAGATATTGTACGTGAAAAAGGGAAGAAGAAGAAATAGAAATAAAAAGAAAGAAGAGATGGAAAAAGTTTAGGTAAAAAAAATGGAAAAGGAAATTTTTAAATTGGAAGTAGAAAAAATGAGAATAAAAATAAAAGAAATGGAGGAGCAGAAAATATTTATCAAAGAGAGGATGGCAGGAATCGACAGATAATAAGGGGGCCAAATGGACCATGTTTTATTTGCGGAAAATATGAACATATAAACCGAGATTGTAATGAAAGAATTATGCAGAAACCTCTACCAATTTGTAGAAGATGTGGAAATTCTGGTCACAATGCCGAAAAATGTTATGTGTCAACTTTTAAAATACAGGAAAACGAACGAAAGGTAATGCCATGTTCAAATTGTGGAAGAACAGGTCATACTTCAGATAAATGTTTCAGAAAGCAACAAACAGGTATCAATGCGTTTCCATCAGTTGCGTTTCCATTTGTTAGAAACGGATTACCAGGAACGAAGATTAAAAATGAATATAATAATGTAATACCTAAAGAAACGAAAAATGAAGGAAATAATGTTCAAGTAATAACTTGATATTGGACTATGCGAGGGATTGTCCTATAGTATGCCTGTATGATAGTGAAAAAACAACATTTGTGGTTATTACATCGGAAACCCCATTAAATCAAAAGAGCGAATTAATACCGAAAAATACATTAAGTTTTAAAAATAAATTGGGAATCAAAATAAAAGAAGAAATAAGTAATAATGATTTGGTTATCAAAAATAAGGAAAATGAGCAGCCCAAGTCAAATGTTCAAATTTATAATATGACAATTTTAGTGGGAAAAAATAATAGTAATTATGATGATTGTCCGCGCGTGAAAATTAATGTGGGCAGAAAATAAATTACAATGTTATTGGATACAGGAGCTACTATATCGGTCATGGGATGTAAAGAATTTGATAAATTATGGCCTAATAAGCAAATAATAAATGATAAAATAATAGTAAAACAATTAAATGGAACTGAAATTGTAGTTTTGGGAAGGGTACATTTACCAGTATTAATTAAAGAGACAATGTATTATTTGGATCTTTGGATACTTAAGGAAGAAATTGGTGCTATTATGGGTTGGGCTTGGATATCAAAATTTGGGTTAGAGAATAATTTTTGGGATACGTAATTTTCATTATAATACTCTTCAATAAGAATTACTTAAATATTTATTCGAATTAATTTACAAGATTAAATTATTTTCAATTTAATATTTTGGGGTTATTTGATGCGTGGGATTTCATTCTTTAAAAATCTCTCTGAATTTTAAATTTAATTAATTTATTTTTAATTTAAATTGTATATTTATATCCTTATCCTCACTTTTAATTTCCATTTCTAATACATATCCATATCGCGGTTATATTTTAAAAGGAAATTTTTAAATAATCACGAAGTTTTTATTTTCGTTTTCGTATTTATGTTTTATTATGTAATATTTTAATTTTTATTTTTTGAATGCTTTTGATTTTGTGTATATTTATTTTTTGTTTAACCGTTAGCCTTCTACATGATTTAGATTTTTTTGTTTTTGAAATTTTATTTGTAAATAATTCTTCTTTTATATTATAGATTTTGTAAATTCATCTATTATATTATTATTATATTTTTTACAATTAAATTCCTTATTTACTATAATTTACTTATTTATCATTAGACGCAGCCAAAAAGATAGGGCAAAGAGAAAACCTTTGGAAATTTGCCTGTTATTGCAAATATTATTTTAAGTCAATAAAAAATTCCCCCATGCATCCTCCCCCTCCCCCCACTACCTCTCTGGCCTAAATATGTATAGAATATATTACTATAAAGGAGAATTTCAAAGAATAATTAGACTAAAACCAAAAATAATTTATATAAAAAAATTCCAAAAGTCTGCTATAAGTGGATCTAAAGACCTCAATAAAATATATGTGGAAAATAGTCATTTAATAGTGCTGGCTACGCCTATGAATTTAATTATCTACTAAGATTTCTTTTATTTTTTTTATATTTTTATCATTTTTGGTTCATTTGGTTATAATATTTATTATAATTTCTTTATTTTCTATATGGTGTGGCTCTTTGACATTTAGGTTTTCATTTTTAACCTATAAATTTTTATATTTGACCTCTGAATTTTTATTATACTAATTCAAATAAATTGGTTTTATTCGAAAACCCTTTATTACGAATTCTTGTAAAAACTTTCTCTATTTAGTTATGCTGCTTAATTTTGTTTCCGTTATTAAAGCATCATCCATATAATTGAAAACATCTGTCCATAGACTGCAGCTATTGTACACTGGATTATTAGTGTAAATATGGTGGAAAAATATTTTAAAATTGTGATTAACTGTAATATACGCTATTTTTTTAATATAAAAATCAATCAAAACAAGAAAAGAATTAATTTTGAATAAAAAATTTATAAAAATAAAAATGATTTTAACAAGATTATTTCTTTTTATAGCTTCAGGAAAAATAAAACGTTAATAACTCGAGAACTATAGTATTAAATGAAAATATTTGTAGAGGGTAGAGACCATAGGCATGTCTTGTATACTATGCAGAGGAGAGTATTGGTGGGTCTTTCCCTCTCCTATATTTAAATAAAAATATATTTGGGCTTTTACTTTTTTTAAAATAAAATTGTTTTTTTCTTAGAATTTTGAATTATAGTCGTTACTTTAAAAAATTATTAACTTTTATTTATTTTTCTTTCAAATTATTGTTTATAGTGATATATAAATATATATAGTACACATTTTTGGGGGGGAACGTGGTGAGTGATGGGTAAGGAGAAAATTTTTATCGACTTAAGATTATATTTACGAGAACCGGCAAATTTCCTAAGGTTAGGAAAATTTCCCATTTCCCCATTCCTTGATCCCAGTGGCAGAAAAATAGTTTTGAATAAAAGAAATAGGGTGTACTGAAAAAAAACAAGAATATTAGCCTGTTATTTTGTTGTAAAGATATAAAATTATATAGGGTGTATCCAAACATTTTGTTCATCATATATGAAGCTTTTAATTTTTATTATATAATAAATAATGTCAATAATTATATGTGTCATCTGTCTATTATTTCTTAGTATGCCAAAGGTTTGTAAATGAATTTTAAAGCATGCTCTCCAGATAAAATTTTTCAAATATTTAATACTTTGCAAAAACAGAATGTACTATTTAATAAAAATCAAAATTATTTAGGATCATGGTTTTAATTGCTATGTTTTTAGTCATCGATTATATATTTTTTAAAAGGTATATTTGTGGCCCAACTGTTTATGATGAGGCCCATATTGGTCATGCAAAGTTTGCAAGTATTAAATTCAATATATTAACAATTTTTATTAGAACATATGTCCAATTTGATATTATACGTAGAATCTTAAAAATGTTTTCGTATGAATTTGTACAAGCTATGAGTATAACTGATATTGATGATAAAATATTGAGAAGATCAAAAGAAGTAAATTAATTATTAAATTATACAATCATTTTACAAAAGTTTAGCAAAATATAAAGCCATGGGCACTTGCAAAGATGCATGAAAATATGTTTTTTGAAGATATGAAATACTTGAATGTTCAGCCACCCAATATTAAATTGAGAGTATCTGAGCACATAGCATACATATTATATTATATTCAAGTTATGATTAACAAAAAATTTGCATATTCTGTTCCTAATGGTAAATGTTAAATTATTTATACAAAGCTTGTTTATTTATTAGGAAATGTATATTTTGACTCTCAGAAATATAAAAAAAATTATGGCAAGTTTAGAAATATTTCTGAGTTAAAAATCAATCAATCATCATATGAACCCTCTTTTAAAGGTAATAATTTTAACAGATTAAGTAAATTATAGTTTATATTTAGATCCATACCGCAAACATCCCACTGATTTTGCACTATGGAAAGTGGACAAAATTTACGATCAAGATGAATATGATTCCAAAGTCTTTGATGCTTCTAAAATGATGATACATAACAATAACACTTTAACAAATAGTTCTCTTTATGGTAGACCAGGGTGGCATATAGAGTGTTCTGTTATGTCAAAGTAATTAGAAACTATTTTTAAAACTTTTTCATTATTTATTTTCATAATTTCTTGTTAATATTTTATAATATGTGAGTTGGTTTAATATTTTACTGAACATACCTGTGTTTAGTAATTTCATATCAAATCGATAACTTTTAAGCCAACCTTTTGAATTTTGCATACTGAGAGAACAATACTAGATATCAAGTCCAAAATTTTAACCTCCTAGTACTAATAGTTTCTGAACAAAGGTCAAAATGACCTTTTTTCAAAAATAAATATAAGATGCCAACTTGTAATTAAATACTAAAGATTAAAAAAAATAATGTTTCTATTTTTATTTACATTTTAGACTTTGAACCTTAAAATTCCAGGTGTTTTGCTTTCCAAATTTTTTTGAATTTAATATTTTTATTATTCACTTACATTTTATCTATTTGGAGAAAAAAAATTTAAAATTAGGAGTCATTAATTTTTTAATTATTGTGATTTAAAAATAAAATAAAAGAATAATTTTTTTTTCAAAAATTGTTGATCTCTTATAAAAAGAGCACATTTTTATTAAAATTTTTAGATTTTAAAACATAAAAATAAAATTTGCCAGGAAATAATATTATTCAGCTGAGATTTTAATCATTTTACTTGCAAATGAAAATTTTGAAAAATTATTATTCAACTTACCACGAAAAAATTGCATATTTATCATTAAAAAGTTATTTCTCAACAAATTAATCAAATTATATAATATTTAGGGCTACATGATTATTTTGATGAAATTAAAATGGCCTGGTTATAAATGTATATATATTTTTGATGAAATTAAAATGGCCTGATTATAAATGTATATATATTTAGAAATTGTCACAAGATTGACAAATATTTTTTAATATCTAACCATCTTTAAATGTCAATAACACTTAAAAATATGTTATCATACAAAAATATCTTAAGAAGGAGGGAGGGATAGTGGCAAATAAAATTTGCATCGGCAAAACTGATAATTTTGAACAAATTTTAAATTGTCCAATTTCTAAACGCTTCTTTAGAATAATTTTGTTTTATAAAAAATTGTGATGTTCAGGATGTCTGTGCATGAAAAATTAAATGCCAATCTCATACCAATTCTGAGATATACACATTTATAATTAACTCATTTCAATATCGGCAAATATATTCCTAATAATATTTTAAGGAGATTAATATTAACATGGCAATTAGATTTTAAATTTTTGGAAAAGCTTAAGACCCAAAAATTATATTGTATAATTAGCAAGGGCTAGAACACATTAATGTAATGCACTCTTAACATATACCTGAATATTAAACTTAAGATTTTATACTAATTAACAATGCTGACTAAAAAATGATAGAAATGCTGAGGATATATGACTTATAGAGATATTATAGGTAAAATTATTTGCAATCCCCCCCCCCCTCCTTGTTACCCACTAGTTATTTTGGTGACTGTAGCGAGTTGTCCTAGTTCTCCACTTTTGAAAAAAAAACACTTCGAAAAATTATTTATAAAATATTGTCTAGTTCGATGGAATTAAACAACACTGAAGACTATTCCTCCATCTTTCGATCGAAATTCATATGTGCCATACATTTATATGCTCTAACAACAAAGTTCGTTTTAACAATAACCTTAAATTAGAAAATAATCACTATCTAAATTATTTATGACTTTTCAAAAAACTAATTCTATTATTGTCCAAGACGAAGTTCAGAATGTCAATGGACTTCACAAGCTATGCATTTTCTCAATTTATTATAAAATGGGAGATCAAATAAACAACCTAAGATTTGGAATAATATCGGAATCCCACCATAATACTGTTTCAATTCCATTTATTACAATCGCATTTGATTAATTTTTCTAAAAATATAATCCATCAGATAATAAATCATTACTTTTCTGATGGTTCACCAGCGCATTAGAAAATAAGAAAAAATTCATCGTTGTTCCTTGAAATTGATATCCAAGCAGAATGACATTTCATTGTTATAACACATGGTAAAATGTCCGATGGCAAGGCGTCGCAGTAAAAAGATTAGTTGCCAAGGCAAGCTTACAAAGTCCTTAATCAGCTCAAATATTTATAATACTCACAATTCTATAAATATGGAGGAGAGCATATTAAAGGTATAAATTTTTACTATGCCCATACCCGAATATGAAGCAGCTAAGAGATAGGCTAATATATACTTGGGACATAGAATATTCACGCAGTATTTTTAATCGGTTTAGTATGGAAATGATAGATGGTAGGATATGCACAAGAAGTTGATATAAATTGAGATAAAATTAAGATAAATTTTCTCTACCCAAAAAGGACTAACGAAATTTGGCTTATCCAGACACCGGATCTCCTTTTTATACCAAAATATAATATTTTACCAATAAGCCCTCATTTGAAAAATTTATTAAGACTTCTAAAAAAATAATTTAATGAAAAGGCCGAGAACGTTATAATATTTCGAAAATTCATATTTTATTTACAAAAAGATGAATATAATGATAACTAATATTATCCCACATATCAATGCTGGCAAATCTTGTGTTTTTATGTTTACGTGATACATGATAAAGAACGTTTTTGCCCTCTAGTTGTGGATTCAACAGAGCTACGTTAGGTTTTCCTCATAATCCATCTAATTGGACAAATTAAAAATGGGGATAAAAATGAGGAGCCCTTCATACGTTTATGGGCAAGTGGCACGTACTTGTACGCTTAATAGTCCTAGGACTATTACCTCAACGTCTGTGGGCTGATGGGGAATGGTTAAAATTAAGCACAGCCCACACCCATAAAATGCTTATGTATTCAATTACTATAAAGGCAAAGGAAGGACCTAATTTAATCACAAGGTACATTAAATATATGGTAAGAAATTAAAAAAGCAAATAATGAGAATGAAAAGGAAAAGGAAAAATAAGTCAGAGAAAGAATGAAAAGGTAACTAAGAGGGGAGAAAGTAAATGAAAGGAAATAACAAAAATAACCTGTTTCTAGGAAGAGTTTATGGGAGATTTAAATAATTCGATTTGATTTTTAGCAGTTTCTTTTGACCCCTTATTTTTATTCAACTTTAGGAACTGTTTCGTGTTTAAATTTAAATCCATTATATCCTTCAATGCCCTGTAGAACCATAATGTCTTAAACTTCCCATATGTTTTGTCATTGAAGGAATATAACCAATTAATGGCCTCAAGGACCAGGCTATTAGTATGATTTCTCAGAAAATGAGCGAAGAAGGTAAGACCTTCTTCTTTAAAGTCACGTGTACTTGAGTGTGGTTTGATCTCTTTCAAAGGTTATCATTTGAGATAATGTTAGGGTAAAAAATGCCGTATATTATTTTTAGACATTTGTTAATGAACGTCTGTAGTCTCCTGGTCTCTGTCTTCATATGTCACCACCTTAAAGGAGAATTGGAATGATAGTGAAGTTGAAGATTCGTAGCCTTGTGAAAACCGATACCTCCCTAGATTTAACAGCATTTTTTACCCTAAAATTATCTCAAATGATAACCTTTATAAGAGGTCAAACCATACTCAAGTACACGTGACTTTAAAGAAGAAGCGTCTTACCTTCTTCGCTCATATTCTGAGAAATCATACTAATAATAGCCTGGTCCTCGAGGCCATTAATTGGTTATATTCCTTCAATGGCAAAACAAATGGGGAGTTTAAGACATTAGGGTTCTACAGGGCAATGAAGGATATAATGGATTTATGCTAAAACACGAAACAGTTCCTAAAGTTGAATAAAAATAAGAGGTCAATAAAGAAACTGTTAAAAATCAAATCGAATTATTTAAATCTCCCACAAACTCCTCATAGAAACAGGTTATTTTTGTTATTTCCTTTCATTTACTTTCTCTATTTTTCTCCCCTCTTAGTTTCTCATTCTTTCTCTGACTTATTTTTCCTTTTCATTCATTATTTGCTTTTTTAATTTCTTGCCATATATTTAATGTACCTTGTGATTAAATTAGGTCCTAAGAGATTAAAACTTATTCTTAGTTTTTTAAAAAAATCGCTGAATAAAATATTAAATTCAAGGAAATTCGGAAAAACACCTAATGAGTTTCAAAGATTATAACATTAATAAAAACGGCAATATTATTCTAAGGTCTTTAGTAGAGCTACAAAACGATATATATTTAAATTTACTGTCATATTGATATCTCGGGAACTATAATTACTAATAGGCTAATTTGGATTTGATGCCTTCCAAGGATGTTCACTCAGTATGCAAAATTTTATTAAAATTAAAAAATTCGAGCTGTAAAGTTATTGATTTAATATGAAATTACATAATTCAGAGTTTACAACTTTGGATAAATTTTTTTTAAATGTGATATATTAGGCTTAGGTCTATTTATAAATAAATCGAATATTTTATTTACTTTAAATAATTTAAATCGAATGGTAAGGGCACTGCCGCTATTTTGACCGGTGTTGAAATGACAAAGTTATAAATATTACATATCTCGGAATTACCACAAGATAAGCAGTAAATTTTTAAGCCATAACCATCTTAGAATATTAATAAGACTTAAAAATGATTTATCAAACAAAAATAAGGTCAGGATCGGCAAATAGAATGAGCCTATGTTTTGGGGTTGGTTTTTAACAATTTTTGCCCGATCAAGAACATATTTTTGATCTGCTAATTTTGATGCCTCTCCTTATGATATTTTTGTTTTATAACCAGTTTTAATGCTTATATCGATATTCCAGATATTTATGCGTAAAAAGATTAGATGCCAATCTTGTAACAATTCTAAGATATACACATTTATAAACAGGTCATTTTATTATCGGCACAACCCTACCGAATTGTAATGAATACCAATAGTAAATTATTTGTTTTGTATACGAATAAAAAATTATTTGATTCGATTAAAATGAATTATTCAATTTATTCAAATATTGCAAATTATTTATGATAATTTAGTCATTTTTATTTCAACTGCCTTAAATGCAAAATTCTAATAAGTAAATTTGATAAACTGATAAGTTATAGTTGAGTAATGGCTTTCTGTTCAGTCAACAGTCACGTGCCGAGTAGAATTTGCTAATCATTAAGGGTACAAGTTAATGTATTCGTGTGCCTTCTTCAAAGTTGTTCTATATGGTCGGCTGAGAAATATAGTATTCTATATCTTTTTATTTTTCAGATCAATTAAAAAAAAAGAAGTATTTCTTGTATTTTAGATAGAAGATTACAATGTAATAATAAAAATAAAGGAACATTCTAAATTATATTTTAACATTTTTTTAGTGGATATATAAGAATATAATATGGAAGAATTAATTTATCAAAAAACCCAGCTGACGATATATCCAAGCTAGGTTGATCTTTTTTTGGCCTGCTAAAACTAGAGCAATTACCCAATATAACTGATTAGTTTTATCGACGTCATATTTAACTATTAAAATGATTAGCAAATAATAGTTTATAATTATAGATTATTCTACCCTTTTTTTTGATATACAGGAATCCATTTTTTTTAAAAAAAATCAAATATTTCTGAAAATTTTGGATTAGAATGTTACGAATAGTATTGTTAAACAGATATATTTAGCTGATTTTAAATTAAGACTTTCGCCAAAATAATATTAGGCAAGCTTCTAGATTTTATTAATAGATATCCAAACTTTTTAGGCATCTATTAGCAAAATATCTAGACTTGTGTGATATTTTTTGGTTAATCAAAGTAATTACAAGTATACCCATCTCTTAATTGTTTTTTTAAAATATATTTTTTTTAAATTAATGTAATTTTCACATATTTGTTTGTTTTAAATTATTTTTTATATGACCTGTTTTTTTTTAATGATATAAATATTTAAAAAAAGATATTGGGATAGTCCTTTTTAAAAAATTATTTAACAACCCTAATTACTAATTAGGAATTAACATGAAAAAGAAGAAAATAACTAAAATTAGAAAAACAGTTGAAAGATTTTAAAAAAAGGAAAGTTAATTGCCAAACATCTTAAGGATTTTTACTTAAAAGATTTTTTTTTGTAATCTTCATGCACAAAGAATCTTGAAAATTTCTTTGCCCCAATACTCTAAAACAAAATAATTTATTATATTTGGATAGCCTTGTGTTCGGTCCCAGAATGGATATACATAGCGGCGGCCGAGATCTTATATTTCCTCACCACGAAAACGAGCTAGCTCAGTGTTCCTGCTTTTACGAAGGGGGGGATATGCGTCATCTCGAGGATGGAAAGGATTACGAGATGGCCGACATATGGATGCACACCGGTTTTAACTATTTTAGCATGAATGAAATCTTAACGATTACGATCTATAGATGATCGTTCTTTTAAAATAAATCATAAATTATGAGATTCGATTACGAAACATCAGTAAAAATGTTTAGGCCAGGGATCCAAACCGAACCGTTAAACCGCTAAAAACCGGTATTTTTTACTGAACCTGAACAGAACCTAAACCGCTAAAAAAAATTCAGCCGAACCTGAACCGAACCCCTAAAATGCATGTGAACCGGTTCGAGTATCATGATTTTATGCTTATAAAATAATATGCAAGTTATTATTAGATTTCAATTATATTCGAATTATTTAAAGATTATCATCAATCACATTTGATTGATAAGTGTCGGTCATAATTTTTATAAACTTTAGTATATCGTCATTTTACAACATTTTTTAAATATTTTAAGCTTATAAATTATAATGCTTAGAGAAAAATTAAATCCAAAATATTATTATAAATGACACATCAAATCTGATATCATATTGGCAGTGCCGGCCACCCAAGTTAGTGTGAAAAGATATTTCAACAATTAAATTTATGCTATCTCCTTATAGATGTAATTTGAGTGAGACGAATTTTGAAAATATATTAATTGTGCGGCTTAATAAAAAAATTTAAGTTAAAAAAAGGAAAATATTGTTCATATTAAAATTAATCATTGATATATATCTTTATATTTATAAATTAAAATGAAGGTTTTCTATATGTGTTTTTTAAATTAATGATAAAATAAAAAAATATTTTCCCTATACATAATTCGAATGTAGGTTTGAATACAAAAGTGTTCAAACCGGTTTTTAGAGGTTCGAACCGAACCGATATTTTAATTTTTTACGAACAGAACCTGAACCTTGAACCGTTATTTTTATCCGAACATAAACCTGAACCGAACCGATATTCGTTTCGGTTTGGATCCCTGGAGGCTATTATTTTTTTTGTTGTTGAGTCAATGTAACATTTTCGGAAGTTTTGTAGTGGGCTATTTTAAGAATTTTCTGGAATTAGGGAGTTTTGTTAAATATTTCAAATAAATGATTTTTTTTTAAAATTCGAAAATGAGTTATATTTAACTCCAATGAATAAATGTATACCAAGTATCAACGTCTACTACCGAGCAGGGTATGGAAACGATTTGCATAAGGGTTCAGTTCCATTCCGGTTTTTAGATTAAAGTTTTAAAACAGTTTGCTTCCATTCGACCTGTATTTATAGGTGTATTCCGATTTTAAAAAAATAATAGTGAGTTACGATATAAAACAACTATTTTAATTTCTTAACGCAAAAAGGACACCTGAATAATAGCAACGACAATCGAAAAATGTCGAAATCTCTCAAAAATTTTATGACTTTAAAGGATTTCTTTGCCCCTCTAGATCGGTCACAACGTCATGCCAATAAAATCGAGTCCTACAACAGTGATCATTTTAGAATGATGTGTCTTCTGAATCATTATAGAAAAGGTTTTGACATGTTTACCCGCCTTTTTAAAAAATTTTGATTTAGAAATTATTTTTATATTATTTTCTCTAATATTATCAAAATATTATAGATTTTCAATATATGTATTTTTTTATTGTGAGGAGCACTTTCATTTGATGATTGTTAATTTTATGTTACAGGCAATGTTGGAAGTTGAAACTCAGGCAGTAAGCACACGGTGTATGTGAGGGTTAGTCAGGACCAGTTAAGTTCACTCCACAATCCAATTTTTAAAAAAGTAATCAGCTGCTCCTGAATGATGTTGGTTGTTAAATTATCTAGATTGGTCTTGGTTCTTAGAATCGATCTGAATGTAGTGGACTACTTTTTATCAAAATTTATATCTACTTTAGAGATGCCCTAGCATCTGTAGAATAGAGGTTGCCGGAGTCTAGCCCAACCAGCTCTTTAAAATTATCGGTTTTCGGCTCAACCCATAATTTTTTCGTCCTGTCCAACACTCAATAATTTTTTGATGAAGGAAAACGAAATTAATTTGCCTAATTATCTTTAAGGCATTTTCAAACTTCGACCCATCTTAGCCAGTAAAAATAGCTGGCTTCGAGTGAACAGGGGTGGACTACACCAACTTCTATGGTAGAATGTCTTATCTAAATTTTAAACGATCAAACTTTTGATTCATTCTACATTTATATTTATACAAAAGGCAATATACAAGTATTGACCGATTTCCAACATTGACTTCCTACATAATAAATACTATATTGTATGTTTTAAATGAATTTTGATTGCCTATATGAGGAAATAACTGCTTATTATTATATATAATTTATATATTTAAATAAGTTTTTAATTTATTCCCATTTGCAATTCTTTAAGATTTGACCTTTGACCTGGATGTCACTATGAACAAAAGCGTTTCTTTATTAAATCGCATCGATAACTTTCTGTTTCAAAGCAACGTTTACGCCCACACTGCGGGCCAAGGGGAGAATCACAAAATTTTCGATAATCACGGGAATATGAGTTATTGTTGCCCAATTGATGAAGTACACTTGGAAGAAATGTAAATTTTATATGGAGTATTTTTTTTCCTTCCTTATATAAAGTGTTAAGATTTTGATCCATCTACATTATATTTTTTTTTTATTTGTAACTTCTACAGAGCATAGCTCTAGATTATGCGATTCAAGTCATATATGGTTTGACCATGGACTAATTAACAGATCTGTCAAAACTTCAGAGGAGAGATGTTAAGAAAATTTAATCAATATTTATTTTTAATATCATTTTTCCTAAAATAATTATAATTGATTATTATATATAAGAAGAAACAAAAACATCATATACGAGATGGAATTTATATGCTAAGATTATTATGTGAAATTAATTTGAAAAAAATAAAAGAAAAATGATGAAAATTTAAGCATAAATTATAAAATAACTAGCATATATTAAGTATATTTACCATTTTTTATTTCCACATCAATATTATTTTTTTCGCTTTTGAAAATATTTTAAAAAGATTAAATTATTTTATCGAACCGAAATAATGGCTTTGTTATTCTTACATTATTCGTAAGCCTAATTACGAGATAAATTTCTATTTATCTGCGCTTAAAGATATATTGTATATTTTTTTCAAAAACACATTTTGGAGGAGAGAGGGGAATGATATGGCATAGTGGTGATGCATAAAGTTTTGCAGTATTAACCTGATACGAGTTATATGGGAAGGGGAGAAGGACAACGCAAATAAAACTTGATATATTTTATCGAGAGGATTGCTGAGGCCTCTATTTTTTTTTATCTTTAGTTATGTAAACCAAATACGAAGCCCTTTGGTGCTCTATAGCTTTAACGTGAAATATTTTGTTGAAAGTTTTAATGTAATTTAAAATAATGATAGTCAACGTTTTTATATTTCGGCCGGTTCCAACAAAATTCGGATTTTTTTCCATCCAATGTCAAATTTGAAGAGGTCCGACGATCCTATAAACCGGATTCAGAAAAAAGAAAGAAAGCTGTTCATGCGTTTACGTTGTTCTAAGGGTTTAAAAAATATCGTAAAAATAATTTTGCCCATTTTTTTTTTCATTTTCCTAGAATTTTTAACCAAGTTTTAATTATTTTCAGAGATTTTTATCTTAATGGAGATAAATCGAGCGCTATTTTATTCGTTACTTTTGCATTTTATTATGATTATATTATAATAATTTTTGTTTTTTTATTGAATGTTTAGGTCTAATATTTATATAAAAAAACAAATATAAAACCGTTCGTGTAACATATTATACTGACATCTCCATTCTTCTTTCAGTTGTTATTTATATCAGTCAATTGGGTGGCTTGGATTATATAGAGTAATGCAACTAAGGTTAATACACATATTATCTTTCTTAAAGGTCAAATCAATAAAAGAAATAGTAGGTTTCTTTTGAAGAAAGTGTTGATAAACAATCACCATTAAAACTGGTTAAAAAATTATCGGCATATATATAGCATAATACATTAAAAAGTAATCTGTCCTCAACTTAAAAAGGTTACTTTTCAAAAAATAATGAAATAACAACGTTATTATTTTTTGTAAATTAGCATTAATATTTCAAGTGAATCATAATATTAGATAGATTTATTTTAATGAATAAAGCTTGGCCAAAACGATACTAGAAGTTGATAGCCACCTGAGAAACGATTTTGACACTCCCTGCGTCATGCAAGCACTTACGAAGCTTATCGATGAATATGACAAGAACGTTAACGTTAATTCCTCTAACCCTATACCATCTATATCAGACATAGTTTCGTTTTGATTTTCATCCCAATATTTTATTATATTAATCATAATTTTAAGATCACTCCGCCCTAGTCAATTTCCGCCTTAGTCAATTTTCGATTATATTCTCATAATCTTAACATTATTATCATATTTTTGGGCGTATCCCAATTTTTTTAATCGTTTCAAATGATTTTCTCTAACAAAACATGAGCCATGATCATCGTCACCATAACATCTTTTTATGGCTATGGAATAATACGAATGGGTATTAATGAAAAAAGGAAGAGAAATATAAATCGAATACATTTAGGCAACATTTGAACCTTTATTTGTTCCACTGGCCCTCTTTTTGAAATTTTCGGGCCTAGTTTAGGGCTCTACCCATACGCCTCTAGTTAAAAACACAAATGGGATACGGATGCAAGACTTTTAAAAAAATAACTTCATTACTTAAAATCTTTTAGGGTTTTTCAGTAACCAAAATTTTTTAGAGAAAGTATATTATTTTATATGCGCAATATATAAAAAAAATAATTAACTCTCATAGATACTACATTATAAATCTTTTTTTGGTATGGGTTTCAACTGTTTTGGAAAAATCTAAATATATAAAATTTTATTTAATTATTTTTGCAGGTATTTTATTCGCGCAGTCCATTTGTCGTAGCCAAATTAAGATATTTTGTCGAAAATTTGCTTTTGGATCTTGGATTCAATTTTTCTGGAATGGTGAGAATTTAAATTTAAAAAATAAATCTAATTTTTTTATTTTACTATAAATGATTGAATTATTCTTTTGTTTTTTAAAAAAATCTATATTCATAATTTATGAGGTATTTAAGATCACAATTGAATTCTCCTTATTTATATCCTTTTTTTTGAAAGGGGTAAGTATTTATTGTTAACCATTTTGTTTTTTTTTACTTTTTACCATCCTATTTTTTTTTATTAGATAAGAAATAAGGGTGCGTTTAAAAGTTTAAATTTTATTTTATTTTTAAATAAATTAATTTATCATCGAAATTTACGAAAATCGAGTTGCGTAATATGCAAGAATATTTTTTTAACATTGGACTCTAGTTGAGTACTATATTTTTAGCCATATAAGCTGATTATTAGCAAACTAAAAAAAAATCTGCTAAACCGAGTTATTAGCTAAAAATTTCACTTTGGACTCGGTTTTCTTAAACATATAGCAGCTCATATTTGAAAAAAATAATATATATTAAAACACCTTAATGATGACGGATTTTCTCCGGGAAGTGCCTGTAGATTAAACCGACATTTAGTCATTACCCAACTATACTTTGGACGCACCTCATTATCAAAAAACAATTGAATATCAATTTTTAGTAGCACTCAAATAACGCGGAATTCGTACACTTATCAACCATGACCTTTTATTTTATTTACAAACATTCTAAACTGTATCTACTCATTTTATGGATATTAACTCGACTCAAGAAATATTCAATTTGGGATATTATCAAAAATTAAATAAGTATCTGAAGTAAGGAGTAGGATTAAAGGCTAGAGAAAGAAGAAATGGGAAATTTGTATTATTGTTAATAAAGAACACTTTCCTCCTGGGTATCTTCCATTTCATTAATATCATCTTCTGACTCACTTTCAACGATTTGGATGTCCATTTGCGATGACATTTTAAATAATTTACACGTGATCTAGGTTTATAATACAAATTGAAAATATATTTCAAAATTAAATAATAAATCATAAAAATTATAATAATTATGATATTATATTTAAATTTTCACATTTATAGTTACATTATTATATTTTTAAAATGTAGCTAAGTAGCGCGCTAAAAAAATTAATAATTTTAAAAAAAGTAGTGCGCTATTAGCTATAGCTACCAAAAAAGATAGCGCGCTACAAGAAGCTCGCTACCTTAAAAACTCTGGAAATATGATATCTAAAAGTTTTTCTTCTGATATATAATAATAAATTTAAGTCACTATAATTATAAATACAGAATAGGTTAAAAATAATATTTTTTATTGGCCTCAAAACTATGAGTAATTTATTATATTCGGAAATTCCATAGAAATAACCCAAAATTTAATCTTTTGTGACCCTTTCTTTTTTTGACACTAGCCCGTCACCAATGGACAGGTCCTCAAAAATGTTTTTAAAAATAAAATCAAGACGTTCTTATATCTTAGATACAAATATTCGTGGGTACTGTCCAACTCTACAGGCTATTTATAAAAACAGCCGATTTTAGTATAGGTTTTAAAGATTTAATGATTATACTCAAAAGAAACGGCATCAGTTAACAGTACACGAAACAAAATACGAGACTAATGATAGCGAAATATTAAGCCAGGCCCTGACTAAAGAAAGTTCGGTTGAGATTTTACTCAATTTCAGGAATAACGTCAGATCCGCTCTTCTTGATTCTCAGCAAGATATTAGTCTTGGTATATTTTTATATATTTTTTTTGTATATTATATAATATAGCTATAATCTTCACTCCTATGTCAGAAAAAATCAACAAATGGAATTTTGGTTTTGTGTTTTTAAATTTTAAAAATTATTTTTTGATTGCTTAAAATTTAAATAAGAATGATATTGATTGTGGGTTAAAATAAATTTTACTTATTAGATTTTAAAAAAAAGAATATCCTTTGAACCCCTAACTGAATGGGATAAAAACTCAACATAAATAGCATATTAAGTAAGATAGGAAAGTTTTAAATGATAATAGTCACTAGTTCCTTACTATCCTATCAAACCTTCCTATCTTTTTTGTGGGTTAGGTCCTTCTTTTCCTTTCTTTGCTATCTAGCATTTTCTCATCTATTTTATTTACTCTATCTATTTATCTTATTTCTAACTTATCATACAGTATGCAACTTATATATTTATTATTTATGAACCAGCTGTTTAATATTTAAAACAACGTTTTTTATTATCCAATATAGAAAATTTGAAGGAAAAATTGCTTAAACATTGTGATTCATTGCGACAAACAATGACAGATTTGGGTGTCGATATCAAAGTAAATGTAGCTATTTTTAACACTTTAAACGTTCATAACGTAGCTTCTGGAGATGGTAGCTAGAATTTTTTATATTATTCTTAGTCACTATAATATCAATACATAATAATAGAGAGCATATCTAACGGGGCCATGCCGAATTTCTTGTTGATTCCCTCGCGGAATATTTCGTTGGATGTTTTTTTGATAATAGACGAATTCTTCAAATAAAAATGTTAAAATATAATTGAGAATAATCATTATTTTCATTGTTGTTTTGTTTTTCCCCCCGTTTTTATATTTAAAAATTTATTTTTTTCTCTATTTTTTAAAAAATCTTTTTTAATAAAACTGTCACAACAAATAGCTTAAAACAGTTGAATAAAAAATGGATTACTAATGAAAAGTAAGAGCAAAATATATAAAAAACAGCTGTTGGAACGTGCTTTAAGTATATTTATGGAAGAAGAATAGAGGTAAATTTAATAATACTTATCTATAAAGATTAGGTACAACATTATCTTATTGCTCTTATTATTTTTGCGATTTAAATATTTATATTAATTTCATTTTTTATAAAAAGGATGCGCGTAAATCAGGAGGGACGTGGCAACTCAGAAGAAAATAAAATTATTTTATAAGCTCATTTTTTTATGGTTAAATATTGTGATTGGATTTTTTTTATGCTATTCGATTCAATAAACAGTAATATGTTACATATATTATTTTTTTTAACAATTTTTTGACGATAGGTTTCAATAATGCTATTTACCCACCTCGAGAAAAAGAAAAATTATACTGTTTTATTATCCTCGACTAAAGCTGGAATTTCGTAAATTTTAATTAATCGAGTTGCAAATAAGAAATTAATTTGACGCGCACAATGAACAAACTAAAAAAATATTAATAATCTAAAACACTTTTAATCTATTAGCCTTATTTTTTAATGAAATTCAGTATGAGCAACAGTAATATATGACAAGATAGTTAGAGAAGACAGAAGTTAAATTAGCCATAATTTAAAAAATTTTTATGGGGAAAAAAGGGTTGAAAATTATTTCATATGGAATGCTATTTTTGTATCAAGTCCATCGATTTATCTTTTGAAAGGTCATAATTAGCTCTAGACCAATCTTTGATGCATTTTGTTAAAAACTTGTATAGGCTCGTTTCCGTTATAATTTTTGATTATTTTTAAATTATTCATAATATATCGATGGATGAGTATTATAGTGTTCTATATCCATTTTCAGGAGGGCATTTCTAAAAAAATATTTGTATTTTAGATATGAGATCGCAAGCAATAAAGGATTATTCGAAATTGTATTTAAAGATCGATTTATCGAAAAAAAAGGTTTTTTGCAAAAAAAGTGGACTTTAAACACTATGTCAATATGGTATTACCGATCGATACCTCTATTAAAAGTTTTTTTTACATAAACCCATTAATTGTACATATGTTTTTTTTACATTTATAATAATGTTTCTGCTAGTTTTGCTTAAAAAAGTTCTATCTGAGGCGATTTAAAACGGCTAAACCACTGTTTTAGTCAGACGAATATTGCCTACATTGTGCCATCTATGGGGCTTGCATAATATATTTCTGGATAAAATAGAGTCAACCCTTTTTAAAAATCTGCTCAAATCGCGCCGTCTACCGACACTAGTTTCTGCTATTTTTTATCCGATATATAAATATGCACATTACAAATTTTTATTGAAATAGTTTTTAATTAAGAGTAAAATTGAAATATTTTCCAAAAAAAACTATTAGGGTAATATAAATTCATTCAAGAAAATTTTCTTTCCACGCTGATATGTAACTTGAACTAACTTAAGACTAGCTGAGTTTTTTTTATTCCTAATTTTATTATGATCGATTGAATTTAAAATTAGATAATTGAATCGCTAATGTTATAAAAAGTTGAAAGTCAATAATTTATTCTATATTAGTTAGGTAACATAAAAATTAACCTATGTTAAGTTCATCAAACAAAACTTTGTTTATATCTCTAATTTAAGCAATATATAATCGATTCAATCCATTTAGCCATTGTAATAAAAAAAATTCTTATTTCTAATTGTTAGCAAGAATCATTGGTGTATAATAGATGTTATAATAATACATTCGTCGTAAATGTATAGGTTTTTAATTTAATTCATATCTAAAAAAATAATTATTTCACATTTTTGATAGTTTGTAGTAGAAAATTAATAATTTAAGATATTATTTATAAAATATTTCAAAGTAATACAATTACAATTAAAAATCCATAATTAATAATGGAAATATCGTGGCCGATAAAAATTATTTAGTAAGGTAATTATAGGCTTTAAGGGGGGTTTGCCTCCAATAATTTTTTATCATGTAGACGCTGTTTGCTAGGAATGATGAAATAGAAGGTAAAATCCCAAATAAGATATTTTCTTAGAGACTATGAGATTGAAGTCGGGTCTCTGTGTCATCTGTTGACAACTTGATTAGCTAAAGTTAGGATGTGATGGGCTGCTAGAGTTCGATTGATTATCATGTTTAATAGCGGAATTTCATTGAAATTACAGTTCAGCTTACTGTCTACTTTTGAAATCTACAGGCAAAATACATTTCACACAAAAATGAGGTACAATTTCACACCCTAGACGAAAATCAATGGCAACCCCAATTGTTCATTTGGTAGGAGATTGACAAGACGACCTCTAGGAAGTGCTTCCAACCATTCATGTTCTCCATCGCTAGTCATGTAAAAGTTAAACAGTTTCGAATGGGTTAATTTAGAATGGTTGATAGAATTTTTAGGATTAAATGCAATAAATTTTTATGGGTATGGAGCATTTATCAAAATCGATGGAAGAACATCCGGTGGAAAATTTGAAGTGATAGAACGGTAAATATTATTTTATTTTAATCATATTTATTTACAGATTCTATGAACATTATATCTCGATATTGATAGTAATTATAACTTACACTAAAGAAATTAAGCTTAAAATCAGCCATCACCCACCTTTAAAGTAATTAAATTATACTGTAGTTCTCGGGTATAGGCTTTTTCTTTGTCCCACTCCTTTTAAATTAAAGCCTATAAAGGTTTAAGCAACATTTTTCGAAATGTTGGGCCTACAAGTACGTGCGGCTTGCCCACAAACGCGTGGAGGGCTCCTCATATTTTTACTTTTATACCCAAATTAAATTGTTCCAATTAGATGGAAATGAGGAAAGCCTAGCGTAGCTCTGTTGAATCTTCAACGCTAGAGGGCGAAAGATCTATATATCACGTTTATGGGTATGAAGCGGAGTGGTAAGTGAAGATTAAAAAAATGGAGTTATTCAGTAGTCTAAACAACAAAAAAGGAGGATTCTGCGAATAGGTAAAATAAACTTAGCGCTAGCTTTAAAAAATACCAATTGAAGGTGCCAACTCAATGTTAAAAATCATATAAAAAATGCTTTAGACACATCAATTTTTTGGATGAAATTATAATTTAGGAAGAAAAATGATGGAAATATGTACAAATATTTGGGAATGCAGGGACAATTTCTTATTAAAAATTGGGATTAGTGATTAACAATAAATTTTATTCATATTGAGTCAAATTTCTGTGTTTAGCTTTACATAATTTTATAAAAGTAAAAATAAAAAATTAACTGATTGTGAAACAAAACATATTACGAATACTGACCCAGGATATGATATGAATGATAAATATCATAATGGAAATTGATATCACAGAGGCTGAAAAATTATTTAATATAACCTCCGCATTTACTTTAATCATTGGCATGTGGAAATACTAAACATATTATAGCACATATTTTTTTTTATAAGTTGCTAATTGATGAGAAATAAAAATTCTGGTAGATGTCCAGAATAGTTGAAACCACTTGAGAATTCTAAAGTATTATAAATGAAAGCTAAGGGAACAGGATTATATTTCTATTAAAGATTTAATAGCTATTGGTTAAGGAATATATATCCCAACCAAACATTTTAACGAAATAAAGTGAGACAGACAATCGACGAAAAGATATCAAATTTATATTTATGAGAATAAAGCAACCCCACTTAAAACAAAGTTATTTACAAAATGATAAAGTTTAATAGTTTTTATTTATGTACTAAATAATATTTATACTATAATGTATAAAATAGAAATTAACCATTCCAAAATATTACTAAGCATAGAATTATATTTAACTCGTATTATAATATATATTTTAAATATTAATTTTTTTATCATCTTTTAGTATTATATGAATGATTAATTAATGTTTCCATTCTGTGAATCATCATTTCATTCTAAAAATCTTCAAGATTATCTTTATTTACAGATGTAGCTAATATTTTTATACTTTAAATCTATTATCATATGTATCATTAATTTTTAATTTGTTTTTTTAAAACTGTTTATACATATTTTTTTTTTATCTTGGTCAAATTATTTTTGTTTATGTAAATGTTTCAACTATATGTTTTTTCTGTTTTTTTTAAAAAAAAAAACCTCTAAATATTCAATCTTACTAATAAATTTTGAAATTTTTCTCTTTGATTTTTACTAAAATCTTATTACTCTACATACTTTTTACTATTTTATAAAGAGTTAGAAGGAAGTGAGTTGAAGTAAGAGCTATAAGATCTTGTCTTATCACATGATCTATGGAATCATTTGTAGAATTTAAAATTAACATTTTTGATTAATTGTTAGACTAAATTTACAAGATTTATATAATGAACATTATATGAAGACTTCCAGATATACGTCTAGATTCTTCATAAAATTAATTATAATTTTTAGAGTGTTATTTTCTCAATTAAAGTTCCTTTTTGAAGTACAAAAAGTTTGTTAGGTAAATTTATATTTTTAATTCTTCGTCAGTCCGTGGATGCAGGGTACTGAATTTAAGGGCAGAATACATGAATTGGTCTACCAAGAGCTACACTTAATGGGTAAATGTGAATATGTTCAGCCCACTTATTCCAATTCGGATTTATTTTAAAGCTTCTAAACAAATAGGAGTGATTTTTTAAATAAAATTGGGGGTTTAAATGATCTGCATAGCAGTACAAAAAATATATTGGGTTATTATATAATGACATTGAGAGAGTGCGGTAAAATAAATAACCTTCTGGATTATTTTTCTGAAGAAATTTTCTTATCAATATCTTTTTTTTCAACTTTGAGGCTTTAAGTTCTGTTAATTTAATATGTTAACCTCAAAAATGGATTTTATTCTAGCTAAAAAAAATTTTTAATTATTCAAAATTCTATGGTTTCTTTATCAAGTGATGAATCTAAAGTAAATAAAAAGTTTGATGATGTAAAATCAAATAAAATTTTGGCTAAATAAAATATATTCAATGATAAAAAAATTTATGAACTTCAATAAAATTGTTAATTTACCACTTTCGGCATATTGATCTTCGGAGTCATATTAGGGTTTGTGAAAAAAGATTTGAACCCTTGTGCAGATATTTAGAGCGGCCAACATTTGGTAAAATATAATAAATGATCAGATAAAACAAAGATACGAGATTCAAAAAAAATATGTTAAAAAATTAATTATACGTTATAAATATGAATTTGCTAGGGATAAAATTACAAATATCATATAATTTTTTGTATATTGGGTAAATATTTCACTCATTGGTATTTATCATAATAAGTCACTTGCAGAGGTATCCGGCTTGTCCTGGACTTTTTTATATCTTTCGCTATTTTCAATAATTTTAATTTGATTGACTATATATTTTGTAAATTATTTCAAAAGGAAAGAAAATATGAGCAATACATGAATATTAAATGCTCGATTCATAGACAAAGGTACCCCTGACAAAATACCCACGTACAAAATGACATTGGACAAAAATACCCCAATTTTCAAAAAAAATCATCTCAAATTTTTAAAATTGTGGTATTTTGCCAGGTGACTTTAAGATCAGACCAGGGTTTTTGAAAATAAAAAATTTTAAAACAAAAAAAATCCGAGGTGGGTCTAAAATTTTTACCTTTGCAAAATCTTAACTTAAATTCAAGAGTTATAAGAATTAAAATAATATTTCAACTCACTGACCGATGCTAAAAGTAAAAGTCAATTGCATCACTAGAAGAAGGGACTAAAATTTAAAAAAATTTTTTTATACAATTAAAAAAAATAGGTAATTTTAGATAATGTTAGATTAAAAAAAAGAAGGTAATTTTGAAAATTTAAAAAAAAAATGAGCTCCCTGAGATTGTGAAGGTTAGTGATGCCCCTGGTAAGTTATAATTTGAACGAAAATTATAGAAATTTGAAGAAAAAAATAAAAAATTATTTTTAATTAGTTTGTGTCCAAATATCAAATAATTAAATCACAAACTTTTGAAACTATGGGATCTATATTATAGTAAAAATATATGATGCATGCTTTAACTCCTGTGTGCAATTTGGCATGATAATAAATGTAAGTTATTTTAAATATAAAATATGTCTAAAATATAATTTTAAAAATTTAATGTATCTCAGCAACTAATTGAAATTAAAAGGAGAGCAAAAACAAATATTAACCATGAATATGATACGGTGCAATATTTTGGAATAAAATATTAAATATTATATTTTATCTTTTGAACAATTTTATTAAACTGCTTATTTTCTATAAAATTAACTTTCTTATAAAATAAAAATTTTAATGGACAATTTTATTTTTCATATTAATAAAACATCATTCAAATGTCACCATGGTAATAAGATATCTTACTTAACAATGTAATAATTGATTTATATTAATGGGTAAATAAAGTAAATAAAATGTTGATTTAAAAAATATATTAGGTGTGATATTTTTGTTTGACCCAAAATGATTTTTAGCTGAAACTGGAAGGAAAAAATGCTATTATTGCAGATCCTTGGAAACTTGTTTCATCAATTTCATTCATTAAATTAAAAATTATACTTATTATTTGCTTACATTTATAAATTACAGAGCAATAAATCATGTAAATTGTGTTAACTATAAATGAGGTCTTAGGTTTGTATTACAAACAAGTGTAAAAAGGAGTTTAAATTTTTGCTAAAAAAAGAGGTTTAACTATGCAAGATCTTCCTGGATATAGAGTATTATTATTTTTTCATCTCAAATGATTTTTAAGCTCAAATTAATTTCATATTTTGTTAAAGTTAAACAAAGAGTCTAAAATAAGCAGAAATTTTTTTGAGATGATAATTGCTAATATATTATATTTTGTTCATCTTATATAAATTTGATAATACAAAAAGAATAGATATAAATGAGATGATATGAGACCTATTTATTTTTTTTAATCTATATGTCAAGAATTTAATATTCTTTTATCAGGTGGTTTAAGTAAATAGTTATATAATTTTAAAAAAATCAAATTAATTAATACCATTTTTGATTTCTATGTATAAATATATGAATCAATTATTATTTGTAACAGTTAGCAATATATTATATTACACTTTAAATATAATTTAGATTATTAAATTGAGATTAAATGAATGTCAATTTTGGCATCATTAAGGTTTTGACTAATAAATAGTATCAATGGTCTATATTGCTCAGGCTAAATCTTTTTTGCCCATAAATCTATATAAGTTTATTATAATCTATTTGTTAACAATAAAATTTCCAACCGGAAACTAATCAATCGGTATCCTTGAACAAGTTGGACAGCTTCATTTGTTGCATGACATGCTAAAAGTAAATAATTTCTGGGCTGCACAACCCATGCAAACCTCATAAACATTAATGAATACATACATAAAGCTAAATATTTAGTTTATTTAGGTAATTAAAAAATATAAAAACCAGTAGTCATTTTGCTACTAATTATCTCTGGACTCTTTTTAAAATCTAAAATTGCTGCAATTGGTAGGCCCCAATTTGCCACTAATAATATTTAAACATTCATAATAAAATCTTTAAATATATAATTTACCCGGTCCCCAAAAATGCTATAACATAATATGAATTAATAATTAATTGTAATTACATACCGTACTAAAATAAATAGTGATAGAAAATTAGTCATATTATAAATAATTTATAAATCACCTGAGAAGATAACTTCTAAAATCTTTACTAATAACATATTTCGATATTTTTTGAAAGGACATTTTAATTGTTAGAGTCAAAATATATAAAACATAAGGTGATTTAAATTAATGTTTGGGAATCAGCTGTATCGCCATCTTGTAGTTTGTATCTAATCTTTAACTCTTTAGCTATAAAAATCATATTTTCATATTTGAATAAATAAAATAGCTATTAGCTATGTTTCCTTTATAATAAAAAATTAATAATTTTATAAGAATTAAATGCTTTAAATTGATAGAATGCTTTTGTCTAATTTGCTTACAATCAATCTATAGTAAGGATCATATAGTAAAATAATTAAATTCGCTTGAAAATTACCATGTTAAACTTGTATCATAAATGAATTCTGTTTAATATTCGCTGATAGATCGCATCATGATAAGGTATTATGACAATTAATCGATGTGCAGATCAATAGCACTGCAGCTGACACATATTTAAAGGAATGTTATTATAGTGTCATCGATCCTCAAATTTTTTTTTAAAAAAATAGGAATAGGAGATCAGATCAAGATATTTATTGTGATAATTTCATAATGCGTTCTTAATTTTAAAGAATATTTGAAAATATGCTTATAAATTTAGTTTTTATCAAACCTATTTTTTTTCATTAACTAGGATAGTATAAATTCTGATCATTTTATAGCAAACCCTTTCTATTAATAGAAATCGGTGCTAGCACATATCAGTGCACCGACTAAGAGAAATAAAGATTTGATGTTGCACCTTTATCGTTAAATTTTAAAAGCATGTTTTGTTATCAATTTGTAATAAATACTTTTTATAGTTGCGAAATTAATTATAAATTTAGTTGTCATTTTTGTGATTTTCAAATATTTAATATTATAAATAAGTTTTTTTATCAAGCTCTCCTTAGGTTCTGACCAACCTTAAAAAGCGGTAAAAGTGAACAACGCCTATAAACTCAGAGTTAAAAATAAATAGCTCGCATATTATATAATAATTTATTTAGACCATTCGTTCTCTTTTATATATACCTTATCATTAGTTATAATTGGCGATTTGAATAATACATATAAGTAAAAATGAAAAAATAAAACACATTAAATAACATATCTTAAGAGGCAAATGATTAGATATAAATAAGAATACAATTTAAAATAAAATAAATTAAGTAATTCAATAATTATACTATTATTTTTTTATATATATGACGTGAACAATCACTGTTAATATATCATCAATAATTATTTATCCTCTATAGAATTATCGAGAGATATTTGTTGGCTCATAGATGTTTCATTCATGGAATAAAATCCACTAGTGACTGAAGGCAAACTTGACATTGATCCACTTAAAAAAATTAAATAAAGCAATAATAAATAGTAAAACTTACAATAAAATTTAGTTTGGTATGTGGGTTAGCTATTGAGTTATTATTTTTAATATAATAATAGTAACCCTAATCTCGTTCAAGAAGTTGGTTTTAGAAAAATATAAGTTCCATATAAATATAATTATAATGACTTAATTGCTTACTCATTTACCATTCTTAAAATATATATAAATGATTAAGACTAACTTGTAATCCTCGGATTTGATAATTTTGTAAAAATACATAATCTTGCATTTTGGAGTGGAGAGAGTGGTGAAATCAAATGCACTATTAGTGTTTTTAGGCGATAAAAATGATGAGATGTCGTTAAATAGCCATTGTAATACGTAGAGTCCCGGTGTTTTAACATAGTGCGACCCCTATAAAACATGTGTAAGTTTTTTAATGACAAAAATATATTTTTTAAAAAAATGACAATAAGGCCTTGCCCTGTCACGTATGAATATTTCTCAAAACAGAGTTTGAAATGCAATTTTTGATCTCTGGAGAATTCTTAAGCAAGATTTTTGGTCACATTTTAACTAAAATTCCTAATCTTTTTTTTGTAAAAATCTTTTATAAATAAATAGTTTGTGATTTTTATTTCGTAAAAATTCTTAAATCGCAAATTTTTCGAAAACATTATTTTTTAAAAAAATGATTAAATATTAGCGGCGATGTGTTTTTTCCGCAATGTATTGTTTTTTCAACTGTGAATCCTTTTTTAAGCCCGTTTTTTTTAATTTAAAAATCTGATTTTACCAGAAATGTATTCCAGCACGTTTAGAATAATGATCTTATGATATGTAGAACAATTTTTTCTTTAACCTTTGATTCAGTTATAATTTATATAAAAAATTCATGAAAAAACGAATATAAATTAAATTAAGTTCAAAAACTACCTGCAAAATTGTCTGAAATTCAATAGGGTAGGTATTTTAAACATGATGGAATACATTTCCAATAAAATCAAATTTTCAAATTAAAAATATATATATTTATAAGTGCCATAATTTATTTTTGTTCATATTATTCGATAAACGTATTGTCTTTTTAAATTGGGGTTGTTCGATATTAATCTTGGTAATATTAATTGTCAATATTTATTCCCGTTAAATAATGATAAACTAACAAAATAAAACAAATTAGTCCAGAAATTTTAGGAAGGATTTATTCATTTTCCTTTAATCATAAATATTATGAACTAAAAGCTTAGATAGGGATAGTTAGCAAATCTCTTTGATTATCGCACAAACAAAGAATGTTAAACGACATAGTTTTTAATTTCAAAAAACGTTTAACGAGTTTTCATCAGGCACTTACATTATCCATGTTTTAAATGAGATGTTCAATTTTGAAAAACAAAAAGAAAGAAAGATTGCAGAGTATTTCCTATTTTGTCCATACTATACAATTAGTTATTTTTTATTGGTTTCAGATATAATATCGAATAGGTGTGTAGGGAGGGGGAGGGGGAGTCTATCGAAAAATCAAATCTTATCAATAAAAAAAATAGTGAATCGGCATAGCCCTAAATCAATAATAAATTTTCTACAGGGAATAAAGGGCACGGAATAGGTAGATTAAATAATAATCTCTTTTTTAAAAAAAATTTCAACGCTATAAAAATTAAATTGTAGCATTCAATAATTTTTTTTAATCACCATTTTAATAATCGGCCAAATATTTAAATACCGAGCCAATCCAATATTAAAAAATTTGGTATATCCTTAAATATAAGAAATATAAACCAGGGATTTAAACCGAACCTGAACGGTTAATAATTTGTCATCCAAACTTGAACCTCTAAAAATGTGCAAACCCGTTTAACCTTTTGATATTTAAACTCTTTAAAGATGATCAATAATCGGTTTTGACTGATACGAGAAAAAATAAAGAAAATCGGATAAGTGGATATCTAGTGTTGTTTAACGAATCAATTTTTAAAAAAGGCTATCCCAATATTTTACCCAAAAATATTACGTTAACCTGAATATTTTATTCATAAATGGAAGATGGGTTTAAAAATCTATTAACGAAATCTCGAGGCTTGCGTAATATTAATTCTAAATCGGCTAAGCCGTTTAACAACACATCAACTTCAAATATAGACAAAATCGGAATTTTAGATATAACCTGCACACTATCACCCTCCCGGCACATTTTGCTTTCGTTCACAAGGATCAATCGATCGCTTTTGAATTCCCCAGAACCATTTGAACTGGAAGTCGATAGAAGTGAATGAATACCCGTATAAACCGAACAATTTTGCAAGTGACCTATAGAGAGTCTTTTGTGAGATGTGTTAGCATTCGTATCATTGCACGGGGAATAGAGAAATTTGAATTGGCAATCGTATTTGGCAACATCAAAGTCCCAAGTTATAATAGACCCAGGATCAGTTATATCAATTAGAACCTTTAAAAAATAACAATATTAAAAAAATTTTTTAATATATGAAAATCTACGGTTATTTATTAATATAACTGCCGAATAAAATCCTGATATCCGATAGGAACTTTAACAAATAGATATATTTATTTAAAATCGGGGATTAACTGTTTAGGCTAGATAATAGTGGGATCTGATCCGACACGATTTAACAACTGAGCGATTTAAAAAATCTTTTAATGAGATCAATTTTTCTTTATTAAAATCAATAATTCTTAGATTAGTATCATGAATAGAATTAAAAGTGATATTAATAAAAAAAAATTGATCTCTTAAACAGATTTTTTAAATCGACAGCTGTTAAATCGTGTCATATCGGATTAACACTATGAATCCTTCCATAGCGAGAGTTCACATTAAAATCCAAACTATGTATGGAATGAGTTTATCATAATAATATCGATTTTTTAAAAAATTACGACTGTGAACTGAGATATCTAATTAAAATTAAATCCATACTTCATGATAGGTACCCTTAGACAAACTGCAGGTATGATAAATATTTTGATCGAGAGAATTTTTTTGATTATTTAATACGTCTTCTGTGAGGTAGTACGATTTAGGAACAGTCCTTTCAATGAGCTAAAAAGATAAATAATAGTCAATTATTTTAAAAAAACAGGAAAATATAAAGATGCAATTTTTCTTTTTGTTTTGAATTATTTAAAAAAAGGTTGATTTTGAAATTTAATGTTAAATCTTATTTCCAAGCCTTTATTATAATGATATATTAATAGATGGGGAAAAAAAACTTAACATTAATATCAGCTATGATTTGTTGGAGTGTTTTGCTGCTTTTAATAGCCGTAATCAAAAAAGCTATGGAAGGACAATCCTTATGAGATGAACAAAGTTCGGACATTTGAACGGGAGAGCTTTGAGCTTGAGAAACCTGATTTGTGACAGGGGTCGGGGTTTGGTTCAAGAAGGAAAAACAATTGAAAAAGTCATCTTCGTTGTAACTGCTAGACTCGTTTTTATTGTTATAGCCCGCGGTATTGTAATTAAATTTTAAGGAGTTGTCATCGGAACTTTTGCTTTTAACTATTCCGAGCGACTCGTTGCTAAGTTTCTTATCATTGTTCTCACCGTTTTCATTCAAATTATCCGCAAAAATATCGCCGCATATTTGTGACAAAGGTGGAAATTGCTTGATAAAGTGAAATTTGGACCGCGTTTTATCGTCTATAAGAGGTGACACCTGCAATGTTTAAAAAAGGTGTGAATAAAAATAAAATAGCCTCCAAAATGAATAAAACAATTGTTATCTATTATAAAAACCATGGTCCAAAGAACCGGTAGAATTTTGGGAGCACCCAGAATCCATAGGCACGTTAGGGTTTCTGGGTAATTAGCTTCCACGATTTCAAGAATTTTGAGCAGAGCTTTAAGTCCCGGCGTCCATAAATGCTTAACACCTAGCCCTCTGAGATCTAACAAGAGATGCCACGAATAATTAATGTAGGACGACGCCAAAGATGACGACGAATCAACGTGGTGAGGGGAATAGAAGTATGGGTTGGTATCGTGAAAATTATCGTAGCCATTTTCAATTTCCACACATTTTTCAGTTCGGTTGTTTACGTGGTCCACTAAATTGTTTGGGAGTGAAAGGGAGGAGGAATAAGAAGTCTTGAGACACTTAAAATAAAAGTCAAAGTTTTAGTATTAAAAAAAATTATAATAAAAATGATATTTTTTTTCTTCAAAAACCATAATCTTATGCCCAACAGATAATTTTAAAGCGATTGTATTAAGATTAAAATGTCCTAAATGTTTTGTCTGAACAGCTAATTCAGAATATACTATAAAGCTTTCCAAAAAATAAAATTTTAAACCTAGCCTTAATATTAATTTTTATTTAAAAAAGAAAAGAAGGAGGCATTCATACCATAAAATCGAAATCAGAAAAAGAAACGGTATCATTTAAGTATGTGGAATCTATCTCATCCGTATCGTCCGCGAGATTTGGAAATTGTCTTTTTTGGCACAATTCAAAACCTTGTTCACACACGAACAACACGTGTTTAATGATCCCATCCATTCCGAGTGAATTGTAGAGACCCTTGATATCCATCACACCCAGCTTCATGTAATACAGGGGCATATCACGATGATCTTAAAACAAAGAATTTTATTTTATTTTATTAACAATATAATGTTTACTTTGATATATCACATGCCTAAACTGAAGCAGTTGGGTAATTGCCTATTTAATAGTCGAAACTACCACCTCCAACCTCAAGTCTTTTTTGAAAATATTGTCTCAAATTTGTAGAAAGTATAAATAAATTAACTCACGACTTCGCGCCATATTTTTAGCCATTGCACAACTTGCTTAAGATAATCATAATTTTCAAACTAAAAAAATTGATCTATCCGGCAGGTATCGGTCTAATATTATATTTTCTAGAGAGCCTGGGCCGGGGTTTTAAAATTTTTTTAATGGGCTTGGGCCTAAATTTTCTTAATTTAATAAAACAGTCGCTAACTTAAAAAATATTATAATATTTAACCCTTTCGCGTCCCAAAATGCTTTTTGGAATCACTATTTTAAATTTTATTCTTCATAATAATTCCCAAACATGTATACTTAATTTTGCTAAACAATAACTAATCTTTCGTATTTTATAATAATTTATTTATCATTGGATGTTTTTTTATTGCTGAAGTCAGAGGGTAAAAGCGCTATAAATCACGTATCAAATAAATTATAGAACAAAGTGTGATAGTCGTGAAACAACGAGGAATTCTATTATAATGTAATTAATTTCGAGATGTGCCATAAATAGCCATGTTTTTGCTTTTTTTCAAAAAAAAGGTATTAAGATGTCTAACCAAACAAATTTTATATCAATGTGTACCCCAATTCTTAATCTTTAAAATAAAATTTGAATCAAAGCTCTATCTATAATAGTTTATGAGCTAGATGAGGTTATGTGAAAGTTGTTTTTCTGGTCAATCAAAACAGTATTGACTGACTATATTCTATGTGTTAACTAATTTTAAGAAAAAAAATTATTTTTTATAAAAAAAGTCGGGCGCGAAAGGGCTAATAATAAATTTCGATATTGTAAGCAAAATGAATACCTAAATACATATAAATATTGATTATTTTCATCAAATACAAGATTAAATTTTTGGATATGAGAATGGGAAAATTTTTTGAAACTCATTACGAGCTTGGGAATTTTTAATATTAAATATGGGCCAGGCCGGACCTAAAATTTTTTTCTTTATTGCAGGCCTGGGCCGGCCTTGATCAAAAAAATAAGGCTCATGAATGGAGGGTTTTTTTTAAAACAAAATATTATGACACAGTAATAATAAATGACACCTCAAAATTTGACAATATATGAAAAGTTATTCTTATAAAAAAAAATTTTTTTTTAATTTTAATAAATTTTAAAAAATTTTATGAGAGCAAAAGAAAGATACCTGTCAGCCATCCCCCAGGAAAATAGAGCTCAATCACGGGAGGTAGAAAGTATCTGTTCATGATTTTGTCGATCCGATGATGTTTCCTCCAAATGAGGGAATTTAGCAACATTTCGCAAGCTTTTTCGTAATTAAAGTCTCGCGCCCTCAAAAACCTGAGGATATGTGTATCACCCGGCAGCTTATGGATAAAAATACAAATTTAATATAATGTATTCTTCTTATAAAAAATTATTTCAAAAATGGAATGTTTATTTGAAACAAAAATTAGAACCCCTTTGAGCGTCGCCCCTCTCAAAGTTTGGTCACCTTCCGAGCAGATATTATCCTCGGACTCCATTTTGGGATAGGTATTTAATTAAAAAAATATCATTAAAGCTATAGCCCAAACTTGAGCAAAAATCTTTTTTGCCGGACCTCAGAAAAAATTTATTTTTCGAACTGAATCTATTTCTAAATAATAATAGTTCTGAACAGACCAATCAAATTACTTTCTCGGGGGCCTAATATAAATTCTTTTATATATAACTAGGATATAGAGGGGGGGGGTGTATGATCAAAATTCAAATTAAAGGAGGATATATTTTAAGATATTTAAAAGAAAAAACTCCGAATGTAAGAGAGAGGGGAACGATTGAAAAAGGGGATTAAAGCCTATTTCATACCGATTTCACGATATCATTTTTACCTAAATTTTGTTCCTTATTTTGCTTGGTTAGATGAAATACTAAAAAAAGGAAGCTTTATTATACACATAATACTTATTCATATAATAGAGAATGGCATGAGCAAATCCGAACTGGAGTCGTTAAATCATTCCTCGATAAAATTTTAAATTTATTTTATTTTCTTAAATATTTCTTTATTTTCCTTGTGCGTTTATAAAAAAAGTGTCAGATCGGATCTATATAAAATAAAAATGGGATTGGACTCGGACAGCTTTTACGGGATTGGATCGACAGGAATTCTACTATAATCCGCAAAACTCGGACCATGGGCTGGGTAACGCTCGAAAAACTTTTTAAAAAATATATATATATATTTGATAGAAGTGATAATTTATAAAATATAGTGATTTCCTTTAACCACTCCCCCAATTTAATAAATAGTTGTTAATTTTGGTGTTCAACAATGTATATTTCAAGTTAGGACCTCTATTTAAAAAAAAACTAAAACCCGGGCTGGGAAACCTTAGTAAAGATTAGAATTGGGTCGGGAAAAACTAAATTCACACCGGGCCGAGACTAAAGATTTAGCCATTTGCAGACCTCTAGCCTTCTACTACATTGATCTATAATAATATTATTGTGTTTTTATAAAATACCATTTATAAGAATTACCTGTCATTTTATTTATATTTTAATAATTATTTATGGAATAAAAATATATTAGAAATTGACTTAATAAAAAAAAGAAATATACTGGAGATAATTTAGATTGATAAATTGAAAACACCTTTATGGATTATATAAATCCCAAAACATACTATTTTTTACAATTTCTAAATAAATTTTTATTAAAAATTTATTATTTACTAAATATTTAAAGAGGATTATCCCTCATAAGGTTCGCAGATGAATGTCTGCTATTAATTATTAATTCATATTATTGCGAGATTTGATTACGTACATTAAGAGGTCTGCAAGGTGATTTTTTTCACAACCCGAGCCCGAATTATAAAAAAATTTTGCCCGATTTCGACCCGAGTCCGACTTTAGAATTTTTTTAGCCCGACCCGACTAAATTTTCTTAAATTTGGGTGTGAATATTATAATATCCAAAAACAATTAAAAATTATGTGTAATACCTTATCACTCTTTTTATACAGTTTAAATATTAAAAAAGTTGAAATACAATAGGATTTAAAAATTATTGCGATTATAAAAAAATAATGTTCATGATATAATGAACATATTATAAATATATAATATCATTATCAATAGTATCGCATAGTGAATAATTATGATATATAATTAATGAGTTCAAGTTTTTCAGGCTTCAAATAAGTCCTTTTATCTTCAAAGGCCCTACCAGCAGCTGAAAGCGCTCTTTCACTGCTAGCAGAGGACGCTGATAGCCATGAATTTAAGAGCCAAAACACTTAAATTGGGAAAGTCGTTTTGATAAGTCTTCTACCAATTTAAAATTTGGTAAACAATTTCAAATATTGAAAATTTGAGGGTATTTAATTAAATAGATATTAAATAAATATATTTTAATTAACCTGATAGAATATGATGTATATAAAGTATGCAATAATAAATAAAAATATAATAACAAAATAATCTGGTAAACGGATGTTATGTAAAATAATAATTGAAAATGACATGATTGATATTTAAATTTAAATAATGAAATGTGCTAGATAAAAAAATTGGCATGTTATTCTAATTGACAGTGAGTTAAATGATTATTTAGGATATTTAAATTTATTTATTGGGTTGGGTCGGGCTTCGGGTCGGACACCTCTAACAACACGACCCGATCCCGACAATAAAAAATTTATGTCCGAACCCTACCCGAACCCTGGCTCGTGTCGGGCTACGGACAGCCAGTGCAGACATCTACCTACATTAACCTACGCTAAAAAAAATTGAGATAAAATAATTTATTATCCATTTTAAATATTATTTAATATCGGTAACCCAGACCCAGTGGCAATTCAAGTAATTACTTGCAAATAGTTTTTAAAAAAATCTTCCTAAAATTTTTGGGCACTGAAGTCTTTTTTTATTTTCCTTCCATCATTCTTTCTTTCAAACTTTGACAAAAAATTTTGAGCTATTATTTTTGGTGGAAGAACCGAGATTTTTTGATCAAATTTTACCAAATGCCAAAATCTTCTTGTTTTTTAAATTTTCATGCTTGAACATCTTTCAAGATTAAAATCAAAAAATTTTCAAATATTTTTTTCAAATTTTATTTGCAATAAAAAATTAGTTTTCCTAGTTTTTCTAACCCCACCTTTCACCATCGTTTTAAAGCAAATTAAATATTTTTTTAAAAAAAAATATCCAAAATGAAACTGTTATATTTAAGAAAAAAATTGGCACACAAATTCGGAAATTGATAAAATAAACACAATACAAAATTTTATATTTATTTTTGGAATCAAATCAAAGAAGAAAAACTTCCAAAGGCAAAATATGTATTTTAACATTTAAAATTGTCGATATTTATTAAAGGTATAAAAAAAAATTGAATTTTATCGATCATTATTTTTTGTTCAGAAATATTTTCCCCCCCCCTAGTAGATTCCTTAAATATCTTACAAATAAAATGTTACAGAGGGGAGTTTGACTAATTCCGCTATTAACGAAAGTGTAAAAAAAAAAGTATGAAGCTTCGGGGTTATATCCTTCTTTTGAATGTTCGTTTGATCAATATATGTCGTATTGGTTGGTATCAATAATGTATATATACTACTAGATTGGCGATTCATTCATTCATTAAATTCATTTAAAAGTGTCCACACATAGGAGTCGACTATTGTGCCATTTTATGGGTTAGATTACATGTCGATTAAATGACAATAATGTGCAATCATGTATTGACAATTAGTCGAAGTATAGACCACAAAATGTCGCTACAGCTGACTCCAATACAAGGATAGTTTTAATTAATGAATCGCCAATCTAGTACCATATGTGTATGATTGGAATAAATCTATGTGGATTCAGAATTTCTTATCATTTAATGAGGGGAGTGTTGTAATGTACACTTTTTAATGTATATTTTATTTGATAAAGTGATTTATTTTAACAGATGTATTAATTTTTATGTAAATGACTGATGATATTTATTTCATTAACGAAATTGTAAAAATCACTTTTTCATTTTATATAAACTTTGGATAATTTAATTTTATAATAATAAAAAAAATATAAAGAGAAAGTTAACAAAGGTTTTCAAGTGAATAATATTATTAAAGTAATAGCGGAATAAAGTATATGCATCAAATTATATGAAATCTTTACCTAACCTACTATATTATCTATGAGATTATTCATTGGTATTCTTTCAAAGAAATGAAATTCCTATAAAAACCATTGTTTAGTAAAGATATTGTATACATTATGTTTACTTCGCTAAAAGAAAATTAAATCCTTTTATAAAATTATTCAAGAATATAAGGAAATTATTCCAGGATATTCAAATAATGTTTGCGAAATCATATTCGAAATTATATTAAATGATTTACCGATAATAATGGGGAGTTGTGTATGAAAATTTTGAGTATAAATTGTTTACATTATATTCTGTATTCGAATTGGAGAAAATTATGATGAAATATTTTAAAAAATATATTCTATTTATTCAAATTGGGGAAATATAAATTTACGGTATTACAGAGAAATTGTAACCGGAGAGATTATATAATATTTTTATTCTTTTTCGTGAGACGACTAAAACGGCGTCCTCCTTTGGAAAAAAAAACCGCATTTCTTTATTCTTATTCGTGAGACGAATCAAACGGCGTCCTCCTATGGACATAAAGCCGCATTTCTTAATTCTTATTATAAAGTCGATCAAGATAATTTATTTTCGGCGAAAATTTTATAGACACTAAAATAAGCGGAATGTTTAAATATATAGTTTGGAGTAAATGAAAAACGTCAGATGTGTATTTATATTTCGTATATTATTGGTCATATATTATCAATCACCCCTAACACTTGGGTTTAATAATGGGTGGCGTGTTGTAATGTACACTTTTTAATGTATATTTTATTTGTAAAGTGATTTATTTTAACAGATGTATTAATTTTTATGTAAATGACTGAATTTATTTCATTAACGAAATTGTAAAAATCACTTTTTCATTTTATATAAACTTTGGATAATTTAATTTTATAATAATAAAAAAAATATAAAGAGAAAGTTAACAAAATTTTAACTCAGAGTATCGCTATCAGAGGCGATACTCTTATTCCAATAAAATATATACGTTAAATTATATAAAATTTCAATAATTATTATCTGAATCCCCATTAATTATAAAATCATGTAGATTCTTTTATTCGATTTATGAAGGTTTATTCTTTGTATTTGACAAATATATTAGGGAGATTTTTAAATCTTAAAATAATCTTTATTTTATCGGAATTGTAATACAACATGTACAGAATATCCAGACAGTATAATCTTTACTAAAACTATTGAAATACATTTAAATGGTGAAATTGTCTGAATTTTATGGTGTAGGTGGTCTAGATATGCCGGAATACATTTCCGGTAAAATCCGATTTTTTTACATTTAAAAATCGCCCCCATTAAATGATATAAATCTGGCAATCCCTTCGTGGATCGGGCCACTACGCGACCCATAGGCTCAGGAGTGCGCCTAATATTATATTTTATATATTTTTCTTAATAAATTTCAGTATTCTAAATAAAATGGTTAATACACTTAAATACTTTTTTCTATAAATATATTTTTGGGTATGGGCTTGGGCCGGGGCTTAAGAAAATTTTTGAAACTTATTGTGGGCTCGGGAATTTTTTCTAATATTAAATATGGGCTGCGCCTGGCATGGGCCCAAAAAAAAATTTTGATCAAACAATGAAGGTCCAGTGAAGGTCTCTGATCCCAATACGACACATACTATATATATATTCGTTCTTGTATACTACAGAAAATAAATATATATTATCATATAACTAGAGCCCCTGCATTCGGAGCAATTTTCTGGGTTCAATCCGATCCGATTAATAGACCAATCCGACCCGAAATTATTTAAGAAATAAAATCCAATCCAATAAAAAAAATTTATTTGACCGTTGTAAAAAGGTACGACTATTTTGAACGAGGGCGGAAAAATTGTACATACTGAAGTGTAATTTGAAAAAATATTTGATTTTTATTTTTCTGCAAACATTATTTACGAAAAACACTAGAAAAATAAAATTGTTAAATTTATTTTGTCGAGGTTCAAGTCTAGATATTTAAAATAAGAGCCCGATCTGTCCGAGTCTAAGGCCGCATTCATAGAGGAATCTGATCCAACACGGATAACAATCAATTTTTTTTTAAATCTGTTTATGAAATCAATTTTTCCTTATTATAATATTAATTTTATCTTTAATAATATTCGTGATAATAATCTAAGAAATATTGATTTTAATAAAGAAAAAAATGATCTCATAAACAAATTTTTAAAATCAATCAGCTGTTATCGTGTCGGATAGGATGACACTCTGAACGCGGCCTAACTAACCCGTGTTCGATAGCATCGGACACGTTGGATTTCAAAAATGGGAAAATTTTGATTTTTTTTTGTGATATTGATACATGGTAAATAAAAATCGATCTAAATATCGGTTGAGTATCCGTTATCAAATCGGTTTGTATGAATAGGAAAACATCGAATGGCATCTGTAAAAAAAATAGTGGATCGGTATAGCCCTAGCAGTATATTAAAAGTTCCATTAGAAGATTTTCGAACATTTATCGACTTAGTCCTGACCTGAATGTCTGTTATTTATTTTATATCACTATTTTTGCTTTATTTTTTTTTTTAAATAAACATATTCTTCCCCATATGTTATTAATTTTATAATACATTAGGTGGCCTGAGAATTTGATCATTTCATCTCCACTTTTTTGTAATTTTATGGGAGATCAATTACTTATATTGGCTATGATTTAATTTATTTTATATTTATTTCGAATTTTTTTTTGTGTAAATAGAATAAGTATAATTATAAAAATCATTAAAAGTGGATATAGAATACAGTAATCATATTTTTAATTTTATGGTTTCCGTCTTCTATTTATAACTGTTTAATATCTTTATATTATTTATTAGTATTACTCTTTTTGTTAAATTAAGCAATTTAAAAATAAAAATACGGTAAATTACGTAATAAAATATATATATCCACTAAAAAAAAGAGAATCGATTAAAAATGTATTTTATAAAAATCCTTTTTTAAAAAAAAATTCATTACCAACAACAAATAATCTATTTTACAATCAAAAATAAAATTCGCATAAAGTTCCTTAATTTTTAAAACAAACCTTTCCATTGTATTTTTCGGCAATCATATTTTTCAGCTTTTTTAATCGTTCATTTTGGTAAGTCGTTAATAAAATATAACCCTGATGATCTTTCGTGCCTAAAGGGTTTTATATATTATTTCAAAAATAAAATAAATTAATGAAGATTAGATCTTTGATCAAGTAAAAATATGAGAAGAAAAAATAAATAATTAATTATTTAGTAATATAAGCACCTTATCGGTCAATGTCGAGATTATAACCTACCCCCCCCCCCTCATTCTTCCAAAAAAAGAAATAATCTATTATAAAATAAATTATGGCATAAGGATTTTTAAGAGAAGAGAAGAGAAGAGAAGAGAAGAGAAGAGAAGAGAAGAGAAGAGAAGAGAAGAGAAGAGAAGAGAAGAGAAGAGAAGAGAAGAGAAGAGAAGAGAAGAGAAGAGAAGAGAAGAGAAGAGAAGAGAAGAGAAGAGAAGAGAAGAGAAGAGAAGAGAAGAGAAGAGAAGAGAAGAGAAGAGAAGAAGAAGAGAAGAGAAGAGAAGAGAAGAGAAGAGAAGAGAGAGAGAAGAAGAAGAGAAGAGAAGAGAAGAAGAAGAAGAAGAGAAGAAGAAGAGAAGAGAAGAGAAGAAGAAGAGAAGAGAAGAGAAGAGAAGAGAAGAGAAGAGAAGAGAAGAGAAGAGAAGAAGAAGAGAAGAGAAGAGAAGAAGAAGAAGAAGAGAAGAGAAGAGAAGAGAAGAGAAGAAGAAGAGAAGAGAAGAAGAAGAGAAGAGAAGAAGAAGAGAAGAAGAAGAGAAGAGAAGAGAAGAGAAGAGAAGAGAAGAGAAGAGAAGAAGAAGAGAAGAAGAAGAGAAGAGAAGAGAAGAGAAGAGAAGAGAAGAGAAGAGAAGAGAAGAGAAGAGAAGAGAAGAGAAGAGAAGAGAAGAGAAGAAAAAGAAAGAAATTTAAATTATTTACTGAGGATGATCTCTTAAATTTAAAAAATATATATCATTTGAGTATACCAAGACCAACATTCACAGAGTACCTGCCCTATGAATTTCGGTCAATAGTTGCCATGAACTGTTGTGTATTTTTTTTTATAAAAAAATGTAAATAAAAAATTAAGAGTTAAGTCAAAAAGTAAAAGGCAAAAATGTCTGAAATTCACAATATGTGTACTTTATATACCGCCCCTTGGTCTGTAGCTATTTCACCTAAAAGTGCCAAATTTAATAAATGAGCAAATTTAATAGAGAAATTTATAGTAAATTAGCAAAAATACTAGAAAATTAGCAAAATGAAGTTTCGCTGAACAAATATAATAGTAAATGGGTAAAAATACTAGCAAAATGACGTTTCACCTAAAAGCGTCTTTAATAACAAATAAAATTTTGAACGGGCTAGTTCGGGCTCGGACAAAGCCTTTTGCCTCGGGTGGTGTCGTAAAAGGCAGCCCAACCCGAGGCCCGAAAAATAAATATCAGAAATATCCTCATAATAAATTTGTTTCGTCGAAATCTCAATCAAAATCACATATTATTTTTCATCTAACGTATTTTACTTATTTATTTACATAATTTCCACCTTCCCACATTAATACTTTCTTGGGGTTGTGATTTGTATTGTGACAAGTTACGTTATATATCATATTTAAACTCAAATTACAATTTTTTTAATTGGGCTCAGATCTGGCTGGAACAAAAATTTGTGCTTGTGATTGCAAATTTATTTGAGCTGAGGCCCATAAAAATTCACTTTGTAAGGCGCTTACAGCAAATATTTAAGTTATGCAAATATAATAATAAACTAGGAAATTTATTAGCAAATGTAGTAGCAAATTAGCAAAATGCTGTTGGGCTAAAAGTACCAAATGGTCCAAATTTAGCAAATACTCAAATTATAATATAAATCATCAAATGTATAGTAAATAGAAAATTTATTATTAATAGAGAAAAAGTATTAGCAAATTATCAAAATGCTATTTCATCTAAATGTGAAAAAAAATAAAATTTAATAGCAAATTCTCAAATTATATAATGAGGAAATATTTTAAAAAATGTCATATTTTATTAGGTGAAACATCTTTCTATAAGCGAAATGGCTATAGACAAAGTGCCCCCCAGCCCTTTATACATCCTTACATTATAGAAACATAAAAATGAGAAATTTAGAAATCTTCAAAGATTTCATATCCCAAAATAGTACAGCATTTATAAGCAAAAAAAATCTTAAGTCTTTCTTTCCTTGTTTTTTCTCTCAATTTTTTTCACTCACTTTTTATTATTTAAAATTAAATTAAATGAAAATCACAAATTCCTTTCCTATCCATATAAGTTTCTTATCATTCTAAACCTTCATTTTCTTAGAAAAATATATAATTAATATCTTTCTCAAGTTATAAAATGATTATTTACAATCCTTGCTCATGTAATATAACAAAAATTTTTAGTTAAAATAATTACAATGTTGGTCAAATTGAAACATTTCTTGACTATGTTTGCTAGAATTTTCTATACTATTATTTAATACTGAATCTGATATTTTATTTGTATTATAGTGAGACCCTTTTTTATCAAGGCCCATATATTTTATAAAATGCATCAATATTTCTTTGCCCTAATATAGGTATAAATCTGAAAAGATAATAATAATGAGATACTTTGTCAATGCTATTTATATATTGTTTTATTACAACTTTTTCCAATATAGATTCAAAATTGAAGAATGACATAATATTTAAAGTAGCTTCTTGTTCAAAGCAAGTCCAGTTAACATTTTGTGGGTGAACCTTGTGATTCCAAAATATATTTTTATTTATATACAGGCATTTACCTTATAATAGCATATTTCTGACATTGTAACACGTGTTGAAAAGCTTTCATTGTAAGCTTCAATTTTTAATATTTTTGATTTATAATCCAAATGGTTGATTTGGATAAAATAAACAAATTCCATGCCAATTATCTGAATATATTTTTATAATATATATTATATAATTACTTTGAAACAAAGTCCACAATTAAATTTTTTAATTATAGTAAATATTTATAATTCAAAATATTAAGTAACAAGCTTAAATATATACCAAATTTACATTTTATAAAAAAAATACAGATTATACATTAATAAATTCAATAAATAATGCGTCTGTATAGATTTTTTTAAAATATTTAATAATAAATAATGTATTTGAAGTTGGACAGTTAACCTTTTTTAGTAAATATGGAGCATCAACTTTAAGTTTGCATCGTCTTTTTGTTATTTTGACATTCCCTTCTTTATCGTAAGATTCATCCAATATTTCACTATCAACAAAGACAGGTATAAGTTCACATGATGGAAATCTTTTTTCATATGCCTAAATCATAAATAATATAAGTATGTTTATACATCTATATTCAAATTTCAAACCTGCATCACTATTTCAAATGGATAATGGTATATCCTTATAGGTGCCTGATATGTTTGCACCATAATTCTATAATCAAATAAGGACTGTATTCATTCTTGAGACCTTTTTGCTGAAAGTTAGTAGATGAACGAATGCAAAATAAATCATAATCATACTTTTAACAAAAACATTTCGCTTGCAATATAATAAATATTTATTTATCATATATAAATGTTTAGTGTAAAACTTGATACCTATAAAAGGAAATTACTATAAATTTAATATTCAGGATATTCTAACCAAGGCATAGCTTTCATAACACATCAGAAAATTTTAAAACACTAAAAAAAATATTTAATACATATACATTCAGCACTTCCTTTGGCAGTATTAAAATTAACTATTAGAATGTTACAATAGCTAGTTTATAAATTTTTATTTTGTTAACTCATGATATGTCAGATTTTAACATGACAAAACAGGGGCGTCGCTAGCCTTTACTATCTGAGGGGTCTGAACTAAAAAAAATATATGGGTAGTTGGCAAAGCCCCCAAACCCCCTAATTTGCGGGCCTTCGCCCCGTTTGCCTAGTGTTTGCCAGGGTTTTATATTAAAATATTTTTTTAAATTTGCTAACTCTGAACAATTATTCTGAATTTCATATTTTGTCATTTATTATATTATGCATACAAAATTAACTAGCATATAAATAATTAAAACAATACAATACATTTCTCAAAATATTATTTTTAATACAAAATCTATTTATTGCAGCATAAAATGGTTAATTAATTCATATATATGCCTCAATTGATATTGGTTTTTAAAAACCACATAATATAATATAATTCTTAGCAACTTACATTGACAATAGGTCATGAAACTAAATAACTAGCTTATGCCATTTTAGACAATGTTTTATAGAATGGATAAATAAGAAAAAATTTATAGAGCTAACTAAATCTACAATTCTTGAAGAAGAGATTATAAACGATCAATCCAAATCATAAAATTATATGGTCTTTAGAGCTTCCTCTTAGATGATATGATGGAAGCTAGCTAATTAATCGAGAAAATTATTGTGAGATATTAAATTTCTAAAAGATTATCTTCCATTTAATAATATATGTTGACCATTATTGCTTATCTAAAATATGCAATCATATGCGTTCAGCAGCTCTAGTAATAATCCTTACTTATATTGCCGCAAAAATAATAGATACTGGTAAATTTGCAGTAATAGCCATGACACACGATGTTAACTTATATCTGAATTTATTATGTTAGATAAATTGATAAAAACACTAAAAATCTTTGGAAAAAATTATGCTAATATATTAATGCCTTAAGTTATTTACATGGAAAGGATGCCATATTAGTAGTGCTGTAAACATTTCTAAAAAAATTGAACGCGTTCACGTTCAAGTTCATGTTCAAAAAAAAAGAACGCGTTCACGTTCACGAACGCGTTCAAAATTTTATGAAAAATTTTTTCTAAATTTAACTAAATATAAATAAACTTATATTTTGTAATACGCCACGTTAAAAAATAATATAGTTTTATTTTGATAATATAATTATAAATAAAATAAAATATAATATAATATAGCGAATAAGAAGATATTTTTATATATAAAAAATTTTTCTTATTAAATTTTAATAACAATTGTTTTCAAAATATTTATCTGATAGACAGAAACACTTGGCAGTTAATACGGCATTAGCTATACTAAAAACGCAGTTTACAGTGGAAGATGAGGGGATTGCGGTATTATACTTAATAAACAGCTTTTTAACGTGGAGAATTAATTAAAAACATATTGTTTTGTTATTTGCAAAAAATTGAGATAAATTAACCTCCTCCAATCCATTCTCTAGTCTCGACAAAAAAAAAGAATATCTCAAAATTAACAGTTCTCTAAGGTTTTCAAAGCATTTTTTCAATAACGCTATAAGTTTATTTTTAATAGGTTTGTTCCGTGGAAGATTTATCCATGGCCATTGAAGTTTGAATGCTGGATGTATAATTGCAGAAAGAACATATTGATCCTTATATATATGTTCAAATCTTTAAAAAAATAAAATATATGTAATTAATTGAGAGTGATAGGTTTCATACCTTTTATTAATCCCATTTAATATGGCGTCTATCAATGGTTGGCCATATTTGAGGGCACTAATTTTTTTAATTTTAAAATAACTATCGTTATTGTTGTGGTCAAATATCCCAAATGCATTATTACTTCAAATTTAATGATTTAACTTGTTTATATCATATAAAATAAAATTAAAAATATTAAAATCAAATGTCGTTTTAAATTGGAACCTGAAGATTTATATAACATAATACTTTTTGGCCATATTTTACACATGGTAAGCATTGGATTAGTTCCTTCAATATAGGATGTTACTGTAAAACATTTATCATATTTGGCCATAGTAATGATAATTCATCTGATTTTGGATTTTCAGAATCAGATGATGAGGATTAAATAATAATATCAATGCTTATGGTAATCTATTAAATTAAAATATAAACAATAATATTCAAATTAATAAACTACGTGTTAAAAAAATTGATATTTGAAAAGGAAATACACAACCGATTAAAAAATATAAATATTATTTTTTTTAAAAAAAATCAGAAATATTAAATTCTTCAAATAAATAAAAATAATAAATATTTTTAAAATTGAACGAACGTTAAATTCGAACACGTTCGTCATAAAAAAGGAACGCGTTCAAGTTCAAAGTTCGTCAAAAATAAAAGGCCGTTCATCATATTTTTCAACGTTTACAACACTACATATTAGATATTAAATATTTAACCAGAGTGATATATTGAAAGCAATTAAGATTTTATATTTGTCGCATCACCAGCGTCTACATGACAGGATTTTCACTGGATGCAAACCCCCTTCAAAAACCTTTGCCTACCCCCCTAAAAAATTTACGCCACCTTCGACGGCGGTGTCTCTTTATTATTATTTTCACCTTTATAATTATATTAAAACTCTTTTCAGAGAATTTATAAGGATAACTTAAATTAATCTATCCCTACTACCAACTATCGATATTTTGTGAATATAAAGAATACTTTTTAGATAATAAATTCAATTAAAACCTCCATTATTTACAATGAATTAATTATTATGGCATTATGAGCTTGCTGATATATCTAAACCTTTTAAATTAAAAAGGATAGCAGAAAATTTTATTTGGAAAACAATGTGTATAATTGTTTACAATATATAGATTTGGTCGATAATTGTATTATAATATTTCTATAATAAAAGTATTAATTTTATAGCAATAAATTTTGTCCTATTTCATCTCAAAATTTAATAGATAACCCCCCAAAAAATTTATCCTACCCCCATTAAAGCAGCCTACCCCCTCAAAAAAATAGCATGCAAACTGTTCCTACCCCTCCCGCTCATGTAGACGCTGCGCATCACCTCGAGTTGGTATATTATATCTTATAAAATAGTAGTTTGTAATTGTTGAGAGCAACAGATATCATGATAATAATTACAGCCATCAGTTTAGACAACCATGGCAGACTCGACCATATTATGACACGATAAGATTCAACAACCTTAATATGGTGGCAGTAGCTATCTTTGTAAATTTCTTTGTAAATTAAAATTTTATTAAAATATAATTTCATATTTCTAAAAATAAAATAATTTAAAAAAAAACAAGTATAAAATTTTTTTTTCAATTAATTAAATATTATGGAATATAAAAAAAATTAATGTTTCTAATGATACTATATCATAAATTGAACTTATTTTTAAAAAAAATAACAGCACAGATGAGGATAACGCCACGACCTTCATAATTTACCTGATGACATTCAAAATTACAATCGATATGCACTGAGTCCTATCTTAAGAAATCGTCAATACTCATCAACAAACTTAGATTATTACAGCCTTCCAATATTCGAAACAAAAAAATTAGCGAATTCAATGCAGCGGTTCAAAAAGAGAGAGAAAGTTTTTTTAGATTGGGTTACCCGTATTTGTCAACTCAATATGGACTGCAACTTTATCGGCTACGACAGGGTTTTAGAAAAAATAAAGGTATCAAGCTCTTCTAAGGAAATTAAATACAGAATTAAAGATTTACTCATTTTAGATGACATTATAAAGGTAGGCAAAGAATTAGACGAAACAGACATCGTAACATCTCTATACATAAGATTGACATCAAAGAAAATACACACTCCGATCTAAAACATTTGGATGGAACAAGACAAGGTAAGAAAGTTTATGAACTAAAACCAACTAATATTAGATATGACAACACCCAGATGATGCCATATGTTGAGAGCAACAGATATCATGATAATAATTACAGCCATCAGTTTAGACAACCATGGCAGACTCGACCATATTATGGCAACATAAGATTCAACAACTTTAATAGTAATAATATCAAATATATACTCGTATTAAAAATTTAACTAGAAAACTATTTTTCAAATAAGAAAAAAATAGCTTTCCTACACGTAAAAAAAAGAGAAGAAAAGATATCTAATTTATTAAATCTATTGTGGGATGAATAATAAGATGTTGATTTTTATTAATATTGTTGCATGTGCGCATGTGCGCTATTATATTATTACTTACTTAAATAATTTATATTTAAAATATCAGTTAAACTATTATATATTTAAATACTTAAATAATTTATATTTAAAAGTTCAGTTATATATCTTAAGGCAACAAAATATATATATAAAATATATATATATTTTCATTTGACAATCACTTGTTTTTTTCATATATAATAACTTGTATTGTTTTCTTTTTAAAATTACATAAATAAAATACCAGATTACTATAACAACCATTCTAGATTAAATATTCAAGCTTTATAATTTCCATTCTCATTATGGTGGAATAATACTTTTAAATAAAGACGATATATTTAAATTATTCTAAATTGAATTTTCTCCTTATTTAATATGGTGCAGGATAGGAATGATGTAAAGATCACGCGTATTTTGGAGTTGTTCAATACAAAACCGGACACACTTGAGTCTTCCAGAGTGTTTTTTGATAGACTGAAAGGGTATGGTTCGGGGCTCAATCCTGAATTTTTGTCGGTGCATTTTATGTTGAATTGTCGTAATGA